CACACACACACACACACACACACACACACACACACACAGAGACAGACGCACCCCTTCACAGTGATAGGCCTGCCAAACAGAGGTGGCGTTTCACCACAAACATCATTCAGGGCCGAGCTCAGAAACCAGCCAATCAGAGACTAACTAAACTGGCTCCTCCAATCAGGTTCTCTTGTTCAAAGTCTAATCTTCCAATGAGGTCGCTTGGATCGTTGTAAGTGCATTCCGGGATGCGTGAAGCAGAGAACCTACCTGAATAACGGCAAGCCAGTTGAAAGTTAAGCATTGGTTGAATCGATGAGAAAAAAACGCTACCGATACATGACGAAAATACAAAGTGCTCATAGAAAAGAAACGAGTCATGCAGCAGAGCGTGGACTGAATGGATGTGGAATGTACATCAGTCACCACCGAGCTTTAAACGGCTTCCGAACCGAAAATAGTGATGTTTTTGTGGAATGTTAACCAAATGAATCTCTCCGGACGCTTCTCCTGTAAACCGTCTCTCCCCAGCTGTTGTCTAAGAGCAATACAAAAGACTTCACGAGAACCCAACTAGTTTAGCGGTGAAGAAACGAGTGTCATGCTTCGAGGGATTTTCTGCATCTAACTATTTTTACAGAGAAAAAGGAAAACGAAAGAAACCGGTCTAGTAAAATACTATGCGTCATGAGCCACGGCTCTCGATAGATAAGTTGTTTTTTTTTTCTTTTTTTGTAACAAAAATCTCGAAACCCTTAATTTTTCAATTATTTCTACCAAGAAAAATACAAAACATTGTAAGGCGGCAAGTAACTATGTTTGTTTGAAGCCGTTACAGTGTAGGGGATCCTGAAGGTGGCGGCGACACCATCACTGCTGTTTGCACTCCTCTGGAGGGTTGGCATCCTTCTGTAAAACACCAAGAGGAGGAAGTGTTATTTATATACACACAAAATGCATTTCGAGTGTAAAAACAGCTCAGGCTCTGGGTCCGTACACATTTCAGCCAATCAGATCACACGGCCACTAATTAAGGGTCTTAGGGCCCTTTGATTTCTGTGATGAAGAAACTGCGGAACTTAGTCATAAGTTGAATTTACAGTATAATGTCACAAGCATTTTACCTTTTAATTTGATAAAACTATAAATCACACACAGAAACTCAAACGCCTGCACACAACCTTTGACCAGCACTTCTCAAAGTTACAGTGGTAGACGAAGTACACAGATCGCATTAAGTACTCCTATCTAAAAAATACTTTTACTAATGTACGCAAGTATTAAAAGTACCGATTGATGAATGATTATTTCATCATGTTGATATATACCTTTGTATTAATTTTATATAAGATATACACACACACATATTAGAGATGCACCGATTGCGATTCCAATTTTTGCAGATTCCGATTGTCAATCTAAGAACTATAATTGACAGCATATACAAACAAAAATCTATTTTTTTTTTCCAATTAAAAATTTTATTTTCATAATCAAAGAAATTAAACATTACAATTTTCCCCAAACTGCACTAAGTTACAGGATGTATAAAAATTAAATAAAATATTACTATTGTAATCTCACTTTAAAATTAAACAAATTTAGCATTTAATAAAACAATAATTTCTTAAATACTAAATTGATTAAGTTTACAGTGAAATTACAAAAGTAACACTGTTCATTTCATTTTACATTGATTTTATTAAATATAAAAATTAAATAAAATATTACTATTGTAATCTCACTTTAAAATTAAACAAATTTAGCATTTAATAAAACAATAATTTCTTAAATACTAAATTGATTAAGTTTACAGTGAAATTACAAAAGTAACACTGTTCATTTAATTTTACACTGATTTTATTAAATATAAAAATTTAATTAAATATTACTATTGTAATCTCACTTTAAAATTAAACTGATTTAGCATTTAATAAAATTTCTTAAATACTACATTTTTTATTTTACAGTGAAATATTACAATAGCAATACTTCGCAATTCATTTTTAGATTTTTTATTTTTAAAGAAAATATGAAAAAACATGATCATTGTTATTACTATTGCATTATTTCACTGTAATATTAAATTGAGCATTTAAGAATATATTTCTGAAACTCAATTTTTTTAATTTAACAGTGAAGTAATATTTTGTTCATTTAATTTCTATATTTTTATTAATAAGAATATTATTCATCATTATTACTACTACTACTACTACTACTACTACTATATAACCATACTGATATATAGACGACAAAAATTGTGCAACCCAACAAGCAAGCACAACAAGGATCTCAGTATCAGCCTGCTGTAAGGAGCATCAGTGGACGTCTGGACTCTTACCTTGGGCTCATAGTCGGGATCGTTCTCCTCGTCAGCCTCCTCTTCCCCCTCCTGCCAATTACAAACACGTCAGTTTACAAACATGCAGGGGAATAACGTTGATAAAAACAGACAAACAGAAGACGACGAACCTCATCGTCGGCTTCCTCACCCTCCTCATCATACTAAAAACACAACAGAAACACAGCGATCAGACGTTTGGAAATAAAGCATGGTTTTACTTCATGACAGAGGATGTGTGCCGTTCACTCACGTCATCGTCATCATCCTCGATGGCCTCGCCGGTGAAGTACAGCACCGCTCTGGGCACGATACGCTCGCGGATGAAGTGACCGATCTCAAAGTCTGCTGCTAACACGGCCTCGGAGTCCTCGTCCTGAACAGCCACAAAAACAAACCATCAGACACTCATCTACAACCATGAGACTTCACGGTTACTAACCAAAATATCAGGTCGTTCACCAAGCTGATATAGCAGTCATGCACAGGGCCTAAAACTAACACTCACCAAGCACCAAATGAGAGTAAAAAACAGCAAGTGTATGAAACTGTTACTCGCCAGTTGGCTGGTAACTTCTTTTATTAATTCTAACAATGCATGAGAACACGATATGGTTTAGCGCGATTATCAAATTAACTTGAATAATGCAACATGAGCCAAACTTGTAATGAGAAGCGTTTATAAATCTGTTTTCAACAAGAGAAGCATTTCAAAAGTTCAGTCAAAATAAAAGCTCTATGGTTTAACATTTGAAAGCAAAGGAAAAAAACCCCAACCATAAATATTAGCATTGTAATTGTACGGTTATATAAAATAATAATTATTATTATTTATATTAACTGTATACATTCAAATAAATAATATTAGTGATTTAAAAAAAATTAAATAATAATAATATAACTATTAATAATAATATTATTATTATTAAACATCAATAATAATAAAAAATCCATTGTTTGCCCAATTTGTTTTAGGTCCTGGTCATGCATATCCAAATTTAGATTAAAGTGACAAAGTTAATGAAGTTCATGGCCTGGAATAAAATGAGTTACTCACCATTTCGCCGCTTTCTGGAACTGTAACGAAAAGAAAGCTTATGATCAGCAAATGCTATTCTTTGATTAGCTCCTATAATGATGTAAATGTGTCGCATGGATGATAATCAGTGATGTGGTAGGTTTGAGGGTTTTCTACCTTCAGGTGGAGAGAAGAAATTGAAGAATGAATCATTGGGGACCGTCTTTGTGACCGTCCTGGTTGTGCCACGTCCCTTATGTTTCTGTTTCTTCTTAATGGTTTTCAACGTGATGTTCTTGCCCTTATTCCAGTCGATTGTGCACCT